GGGGGGGGGTCTTAACACATTACTAAGGGTGTTAATAATGAACAAAATACACTCCAACACCCATCTTCTTAAAAGTGAAATCTCCATGCGTGAAATGTGTGGCATCAAATCATGTTGAAAGGGTGTTGGAAGACATTTTTGCTTACGAGAGATCCCAACTCGTTAATAATGGGTTTATAGTTATAATGGCTCATTCGTTGACTATGCATGTAGAGTTGTCAATGGGTCAAGTTTGATTTTGAGGCAGGACGTAATGGATTGCCAATTGGTCCCATGAGATACATCTAAAACAGAAACCAATTATTAATCGAGACAATTGGGTCTCAGCCAATTATACTTGACATCTATAGTTACTTATATTTTTGGTAAGATAAGTTGATAAAATTGAATGTAAAAGAATAAAGCCGTTGTATGATGGTAAAACAATGTTTTTAACCATAATTATTTTGTATACTATCTAATGTCTATAAAATTTATCCTGTTAGAACTAAAGTAGAATCAAAATTACAAAAAACTCATTAGTGCCTTCGAATATTTTAACTATGTAATTGTCTCGGGGCAGCAAGAGTTAGTGTCGACTCAATTATTAATTGTGACAAAATCATAGAATCATAATCAACATAATTTTGGTTGTCAAGTAGACTTGGCCCATCATTGTTATTATTATTATTAGTAGTAGTAGTAGTAGTAGTAGGGTCATTTACTAAAGCATTCCCTATAATTTCACTGATTTACTTAAATTTATATTATATTACTTAATTGACCTGGCATTAAGAAATATTTGTTTTGCCATATAAAAGTCAATGTTTTTGAACCATCGTTGACCCGGATGGTCGGAACGTTCGGCCCTAAAACCGTTCAAACAACTGGTTCCATTTCACCACTAACCCGTTATTGGGTCAAAACCTATTGACCCGACCAGCGGTTCGCAATATAAAGTTGTAGAGATAACTCAGATCTGAGATCTAGTCTGAGACACGAACTCATATATGGGATCTAGCACAAAGAGAAGAGAAGAAGAAGAAGAAGAAGAAGAAGAAGAAGAAGACTTTCTTCTACATGTGTTTTAGAGAAATCGATATTAGATCTGAGATACAAGAACTCAGATCTCTATTTGTCATCGCTGCCTCGTCATCACTATCATCACTATCATCACAATCATCCTCATCCTCTTCCTTCTTCTTCCCTCACTCTCTCCTTCCTTCTTCTTCTTTCTTTTTTTCTTTTTCAGCCGACAACAATTCTCCTTTCTCCTTCTGCTTTTTGGCTTTCTCAACCGATATCTATTCTTTCTTATATGAGGTTTGCATATTAGGGCAAATCTTATATAATCATTTGCCTAATATGCAAACCATTCGACCCAGATGGTTGAACCGCTGACTCATAAACTAGTAACTATAACAATTCCATTTCTGGGTCGATTTTTAAAACCTTGATAAAAATAGTAGTATGATCACCTAAACCAAGTTGAAAATGTTGAAGGGCATGGACCCATGGTTGTTTATTCCAAAAGTACCCCTAAATTGAGTGGGAAATGTTCAAGTGTATGAACCCATGGTTGTAAAGAAAATGGTAATTTTGTATAGAGTGATAGCCCATGTTTTATTAGGGGCAAAATGGTAATTTTGTTTTCAGTTTCTTTTGATTAAATTTATTTGAGTGGATGTTAGTGTTGAAACATTTTACACTTTCGTCTAATGGAAGGTCAATTAAGTAAATTGACTGCAAACTATAGGGGATCTTTCACTAAAACACAAAGTATGGAGTATGTTTTAGTAAATTCATGAAACTATAGGCGGTGTTTTAGTAAATTACCCTTGTTGTTGTTGTTAGGGGAATTGTCCAAAACCCACCATCACTTTTTATGAATTCTCTTAAACTCAACATAACTTTTCAAAACGTCCAAAACTCACTATGTCAGTGAGATTTTATTTTCTAAAATTCACCATCCATTACAATACCCTTACATTTCAATGACCTAAGTTGTCCACGTCAACCTAAATGTATGTTTCATGACTAAACAGCCCCGGAATGGTGAGTCAGCCTGTTAGCATCAACACCACCACTGTTCCTAGTTAGTGCTGGTGGTGTGGTGGCATGTCACCCCGCTCCTTTTCGCAAGTGAGGAAAGGTGGGTGGGTGGTGGTGGTCTCTGACGCTAAGCTTCTCAATGTGTGTTTATGCACACCCTCACCAAGCAGAAACAATAGTAGTTCATGGAAATGGAATTCCTATTTGTTCCATATCTTGCCCTTCACTAGGAAATTACATGGACAATGTGTCCACAGTTTAGCTTCATTCCATATCGACGCTGAGGCCCAGCAAGCTCATGCCCGTCGCCATAAACTAGGAACTTCAGACCTTGTCGAGTTGGGGCTCGTTGCCACCTATTGTGAATCCAAGGCATTTTCGTATGCTCGGCAATTGTTTGACGAAACTGATGAAGGAAGATTTGGCCCGACCTCGCAAATCACGCCACGTGGCAAAAAAACAAGTAGCTCGGCACTTACCGAGGGAACAAACACAAAAGGGAAGAGACCAGCAGTCCGAACTCCCTACAAAGTGCCCGAACTCCCTACTTAGAGCTCGAACTCCCTGCAAGGAGCCCAAACTCCCTGCAAGGTGCCCGAACTCCCTACTTAGTGCCCGAACTCCCTACTTAGAGCTCGAACTCCCTGCAAGGAGCCCGAACTCCCTGCAAGGTGCCCGAACTCCCTACTTCATGGTCGAACTCCCTACAAGGTGCCCGAACTCCCTACTTAGAGCTCGAACTCCCTGCAAGGAGCCCGAACTCCCTGCAAGGTGCCCGAACTCCCTACTTAGTGCTCGAACTCCCTACGAGGAGCCCGAACTCTCCCTTTGGCCCCGAGTCGCACAAAGTAGAGACCCGAACTGGCCCGTCCTATGACAGTTCGGGGCCCCCCTTATCCGAACTCAAGACTTCGCCTCACACACCGCTCCGGGCACTTCGCTTCCGGAGCATTGAACTGGACGAACCACACCGTACCTAACACCGAAGGAGTCCGTATCAAGGGGCGGCGCACCTGACTGACTTGGGATCTGATGCCTGACGACCGCATTTCAAACGGCCACCTGCCACCTGCCACCGTCACCTGTCAACCGCTGCCTCCAGTTACAGAGACGGCTCCAACAAAAAGGGCAGTGACGGTTCTGCCCCAGCAGAGGCTATGACGCCCGAACTGGCAGAAGCACGAAAATACTCATTCCCGACTTGACAGGAGTCTAGGAGTGAGTGCGCGAGGTGGTTATAAAAGGCTCTCCACCCCCAAAAAGGAGGTATGCAAAACTTGGCGCTATCTGGTTTTATCTTGCCTTTGAAGGATTCTAACTTAAGCTTTGGAGCCTTTACACCGGGTTCTCCCCGGAGTTTCCTCATCTCCTCTGTTTCAGGTTCCCTGCTACTCAGTTCAGAGGCAAGGTCGTTGACAGCTAAGACCGGCCGGATTGCGCATCATCAGAAACATATCACCGGGACCTAATTTTTGCAACCTCTATAATTGGTCGCTTTACTTGGCACAATCGCCATAAGGAGGCAATTGATATTTTCTCTTGCATGCTTGTCCTCAACATCAAACCCAATGGGTTCACTTTCGGCACAGTCATTCATTCCTCTATTGCCATAGGGAATATCACTATAGCCAAGCAGCTTCACGTTTGCGCGACAAAGGTGGGTCTGCATTCAAATGTCTTTGTGGGTAGTACGCTCCGTGACAACTACACCAAGTTGACTACAATCGAAGAAGCTCAAAGTGCCTTCCAAGATATCGACAACCCTAATGTGGTTTCTTATACAACTTTGATCTCTGCGTACCTCAAGCACGAGAACTTCATGGATGCTCTCCGATATTTCCAGGAGATGCAGGACATAAATGTGGTGTCATGGAATGCAGTGATTAGAAGGTATAGCCAGATGGGCCACAATGAAGAGGCCATAAACCTTTTTGTTGAGATGATTAGAGAAGGCCTGAGGCCTAATGAATCGACTTTTCCTTGTGTCGTAAGTGTAGCTGCCAATATCATTGCTCTTGGGATGGGCAAGAGCTTCCACGCCTGTGCTATCAAGTCACTGGGTAAGCACAATGTCTTTGTAGGTAATTCTCGTATCAACTTCTACGCCAAATGTGGGAGCATGGAGGATAGTCTTTTAGCTTTCAATAGACTTACTCAAAGAGTATTGTTTCTTGGAATTCTCTGATTTGTGGTTATGCGCAAAATGGGAGAGGGAGAAGCAATAGATTGTTTCCAAAGGATGAAAGTTTCGAGGTTTAAACTCAACAGTATCACCCTTCTATGTCTTTTGTTGGCATGCAACCACACAGGCCTTGTTGACGAAGGTTATTCGTAATCATACTTGGAGTTGCAATTCTCTTCAGAGGGGGCGAAAGAGGTGAAGGGAAATCAGAGAGAGAGAGAGAGTAAGAGAGGGAAGGAGGGAAGGAGGGAGGGAGGGAGAGAAGAGGAGATGATATATTGAAGTTGGGAAAAGAAGATGAACTCTATTTGTGTGTTTGAGACTACGAATGAGAGTATACGACTTTTAGCAGAGTCGCCACACCACTGGAAAAGAGAAAAAGAGAATTCCCCTGTTTGGAGATATGAACAGTGGTGGTGGTGGTGT